CGAATGTGACAGAAATTAAGTGAGAATTCTTCAAAGAAATACTCACAAAATCACTCTAATACCAAGTACAGTGATTTTAGATGTCTGAACGGTGCGAACTCGACAGAGTCATCAATGGAAACCGATACACACACACTAGCAGCCAAGAGTGTGAAGGATGTTGTAGGATGGTAGGCGTTTTTTGCAAATATCTGTTTCCCAGTTTTCATAACTAATAACGCGACATTTTCGTGTTCTGGCTTTAGTTTCTGTCATTTTTCCATCAATCTGTAAACCATTGAGGAACAAATTTAAAGGAAACTGCATATATAAAGCAAGAAAGAGTTATTAAGAAAGAAGAAACAATTACACATTTGTGTTTGCCCTTCGTTTGTCTTCGCGCAGTTGATTTATCACGCTTTACGTGGGTTTCTGTCAGGTGATGGACTGATCACCTTAGTCTTTCTCGTGGTTACTTCAGGGACTGAAGCCAAGGCAAAGGAATCAATGATAGTCCACCTAGTGGAGTTGACAAGAAAATGTGCGTCCAAACAAACCAATTAGATGTATAATAAAGTCAAATACACACACTCACCGTATAGCAGACTCTACTCCATTCTGCTGCCTTACAAATCTGACTTTATAGTGAAAGATATATGGTGGGAACCCAAGAATTTTATCTTTGGTCTTTCTGATCAGCAACTAACTAATGTTACCTCCTATGTTTTGTCACTTCTGATTTTCATTGTTTTTGTTATATATGAAAAACCGAAGGGGTTAGTAGTTGCAACTGGAAGATTACTGGTTTAGTTGAATATTGATCAATGAATCAGACAGATGTTTCTGCATTAAAAAATGTTTGAGTTTTAATATGTCATTCCGTTCGTTGAAATCAGTAGGCTGTTCGGGATGTCCTAATAAACGAATGACGGTAGAACGGTTAAGGTACTTACACGAATATCCGTGGCTCGAGCGACATACGCTTGACCGATTCGCTGTTGACGTTGATATGTCGTTTTCTTGAAATTGGAAGGTCGCAGATACCCTACCACTTTGCAGTTTTTCTTGCTTTAAGATTGTGGGACGCTGATGTTGCGAGGGAAAACCGCGACAGGCTAGTGATAGACCTGAGGTAAATGCCTATTAAGGGTGTGTGAAAACTAGAGCTCTGAATTGAATATAGGCCAATAGAAACGTGATCTGCTTGCTTGATCATAAAGTTTCCTCCAACATTAGGTAGATCAACAAATTAGAAAGATAACACGAAAGGGTAATAAATGGCACAGAGAAGTGCAACACTTTTGTATTTGTATGAAGTGAATTGATATCTATCGGTTACATATTCAGTTATCACTGAGAGTAAGGGCAAAAGTAAACTAGCATCGGGCTGAGATAAAACAACTGAAGTCTGTTAACTACCCAATTCGATGCAATAATGTCGTCAAGGTCGAACGCAGTGCGGTCTAGAGTAGAAGCAATGGCATGGATAAGGTAAGAATGAGCACCTATTCTTTTATTGAATACACTGATCTTCCGCTTGTGTAAATATATGTGATCTGATAAACGCTAAAACAAGTAGTTCGAACGTCCTAAGCAGAATGAAAATACAAGCGGCAGGATACCATTTACCAAACACCTTTTTTGGGGGAGGGGGAGGATAGAAGTAACGCACACGGCGATTCGAAGTCACGTGCAATAATGACAAAGAGTGTGTACGAAATTTAATTCTGGAAAAGGGGACAGGAGATTGAATGTTGAATGTTGTTCCATGCGAATAGAACGCCAGAGTCTACTGGTATGATTGTTGTCTGATAATTCGCCTAAATTGTACAGAATGATGCCTGATACAATGAAGCTATGCATTCGGCGTTTTGACCATCGACTATGTGGCTTCGAAATTGGGGTTCTGGCTCTCGCCCGGAAGATTCGCGGTTCAAGTCCCGGTAAAGAGACATAAACATAATGCGCATTGCTGAAGGCAAAACACTTATTCAGTGCTGTTTGGCAGCCTTTGTATAAAGTTTCATCACATATAAGACTGAACTTTACTTTCTCTCCCAACCCGTCTCCTTATGCCCATCGTAATATTCTTTCAAAGCACTATGCTCAGCTTCTGTGTTCCGTAACCCCTAGATTATGTTGAGGTTTTCGCTAGATCCTTCCTTTCAGTTTGCATAAAAAATTATCCTTGCACTTTGTTACAAATTTATAGCAAATTCAACCGAAATGCAACAACTAATTTCATTCTCGTGAGATCGGTTGGGCACTTTAGGTCTGTGTCAGGTGATTTAGAGTTCAAAGATTCAGGCCCTATTACAGTTGCTCTTAATTTTTATGTTAGATGGCTTCGTTGTCACCGCGTCTGACAACATGCCTCTCGGATAACAGACTTATGTGATTCACCACTCAAATTTCCGTGACTTAAGTGTCCGGTTCCCATAAATGAGTGATGGACATTCCTGGTTTTCGGTTTGACCTCTGGTAATCACAAGTATTTAGCCGAAGGCTCCAGTTATAAAATTCCTCAAGAAAGTTCACTTGCCTTGGTCTGGGCAACCTGTCAGTTTTCCTCCCACAAACAACTTATGGAACTTTCTCTTTTCATAAAGATTATCGTACTATGATTATTTTGGGACAGTCTGGATTCAAACGTGTGTGGAATATACATAAAAACGTTTTGCAAGCCCTATTTCAGCGCATTTCCCGCATCTGTGGCATTTCACCATCCAGCAATCGCTTGATTTTTGTGCACTTTTTTGCACTATGGAGAATGGACTTATATGCGAGTAGCATATCATACGATATAAGAACGATGCAAATCTGGCTCGCTGAATTTGATGGGATTTCTCGATTTGGAAATTAATGTACAGCAATGTTTGAACGTTTTTCTGGTGTTGTCATGACGAATTCGCAGACCATTGTTTCATACTTGTCGGGGCTTATCAGAGATGCGTACCATGTCTGCGTCCCTGCCGGGATCCGCGCCACTAGCATAGGAGTTGGGAGTCGAAACGCTTATTGCTAAGCTACACATTCAATGGGTAACATCTTGAAACCATGGACTTACCAGTTAATTTTATATGTTCTTATACTGCGAAGCTCACTGACTCGGACTTTGTTAGTTCCACGCTTAGTTGTTTATAAGGCCGAAACAGCTAACTGGGGCTCTTCACTGACCATCCCTCATCTCGTTTATTTACATTGTGTCTTTATGTGGCGAAAAGTCATTGCTATCACGGTCTCAACTCACTCTTAGAAACACGTGGGATCAGGATGAGATATGACATAATTAAATTGATTGTTGCCAACACACGTCTTACAACCTGTAAGCTTTCTAAGCTCGTATACACTGAAAAGATAGGGTCATGCTTGCGTGATAATTATCTCCACTGTTCTGATCCATTCTCAACCAATCTCTCTCTCCGGTGTACAGAATGGCACTCTTCTGGATCCGGACACGTATGAGGATAAACGTGTTCGCGCGCACATGGAACGTCAATTGAAACGTCTGTTGCCGTCTGTTTATCAGTTGGCCGATGCGCGACAGACGCGTCCCAGTGCACGGCAGGCTATTTATGCCCAGTGTAAACAGCTTCAGCGTGCCTTGGAGAATCTCCTGAATGAGTATAATCGAAAGGTAATCTGTTCCATCTCAGTCGATTTAATGTATATTATTAGTGTCATTACCGTTATTATTAACAACGATATCATTACCACTTAATCATCTTCTGTCTTTATGATCGAACTACGGTATCCACCGCAACGCGACTGTGGCAAGAACCTTCTCCTCTTGAAACCACTTATTTGACAGGTTGGCTTACAAAATTAATCGATATTGACATTTCTAACGCTTTCTGTTGAATCTTACGACAATATCTATTGAACACAGAATATTTGATTCAAAATGTGCAGTCTGGTCCATGAAAGCACTTTTCGGGTGTGATCACAAGGCTTTGCTCACCTTTGGAGCGATTGGGGCTTTATGAGGGCAAAGGAAAACAGATAGATAAATGACTTATCAAGTGTTCATCACGTTTGCGAATCCTTGAACAAACTTTAGATTTGCCAGAAATGGCGATTCGATCTCATTTTGAGCTATTAAAATTGGCTTATAACTGGAACTTTCCATGCAGATCTTTTCTGTTGATGATTACTAAACACCGGGACAGCTCAACTCTGTCCTTTTTTTGTCCCAGCCCTTAACGCCTTACGCGAATGCAGTTACGCACTCCTCAGTTCCGTTATCTTACTTACATTAATGACGAGTTTACTGGAATGAAAATCGTTTGTGCACTAGTCATTGTGAAAAAAGAAAATTTTTTTCTGTTCAGGGCTCACAACGGTTGTCGTGCGATTCAGTATATCCCCCACGCCCATTGCTGATGGTACAGTGCCAAACGTGAGCGTTTCTTCGAATATCCGTTTTGCTACAACAAGCATCCATTTTCATCCAGCTCCCGGCAACAGTAACAACAGAATGGAAGAGGAATTGAGCTGCTGTGTTACCTGTTTTACTCGCATCTCTGTGTTGGGCAAATTGTTACCTCCATTCAACTCGGAATGTGCCGTTTTTGATGCGACCACGTGAAATGTGGTCTGATATATATATTCAACACCGGCTTGAGAACAAGCTTAGTGCCAACGCCATAATAATATTAACAATAAAAATAACGAGCGGGGGGGGGGGGGGTTGGGGTGCAGAGTATAGGGAAAAGATGTAGCTGTCAGAATAGGAGATGACGAATAAAAAGAATAACAATTTTTTGGGATGTTTCACAATGCTGCACATTTTTGGCCAAAAGTCGAAACGGAGACTGGGAAATCGCTTTGCACCGCCTTTATTCTGTTACCAGCACACCTCAGCCCAAGGCGGCATGCTTACACGCTTTTTCATTTCACTTCAGTTTGTGACCGATTCCCGCGGTGAGATCGACACAAACGAATGATGCTATTTTGATGCATTGAAGTGAACCGTAAGCGAATTCGAGTTCTGTTCGGTCTGTGTACGAATTCACAGTTTATGAACTGACCTGATGGGCGATAACCCCATCCACATAACTGTTTTGAAGGAATATGCAGTCTAAAAGCTGTCAGACTATCGAACGTGACTTCTTTGAAGCAATTGTGGTAGAAATCTGTCCTCGGGCTGTTAATTTATCCCCTGAACTAGATGTTCAGCTATTGGTAGTGTCGATTACAGGTTACGTCAGTGGAACCGTAGTTAGAGCGGACCGTTATGAGTGTCCAGTCATCAGCTTCGAGAAGTGAACTTTTATGCTTTCGAATGGACGGTACTCACCTTATTCTGGGGAATATTTCTTTTCAACAACAAATGCTTCCGATAAAAAACTGGTGTTAAATAACTATTGTCTCCCCCTTCCCCCAATGCTTTCAATTGGTATGTACATATCACAACCATTGCAATTGTATTCACAATTATCACGTGAATCATCTGCTCTCTTTGTTTCCACCTCCCGTGCTTTCCCCGTGCCCCGGGGGGGGGGGGGGGA